CAGGACGTGGTTGGATTTGGAGGAAGTAGTCATGATTGTATCGGGGCTGAGATATTGTCAGGGTATCAAGACTTAGACAGAAGAACGAGTAGGGTACTTAATCAAGGCCTTTGGTTTAAAAACCTGACCGCAACCATTCGGTTGTACGGAAATTGACGCCATCCAATTTCACACCCACAGCATGAAGGACCAGGAAACTGTGTTCATCTGACTTACAACCATTGACCAACCTAGTAGGAGAAACTGACATTGGGCCCGGGGACACCACCCAGTATATTGCAACGGGTCGAAGATGTAGGCAAATCGCCACATCACCTTAAGGTGCAGTCTCAGTGTAACGGAAATTACATTTAATTATCTCTGTCCAGACCATGCGTATTGCATAGGTTCATTAGACTACAGTTTTCCTAGCCAGTCTCATGCGCTTACTTAGTCTAGGCTCTGTATATTTGTTACAAAAGACATCCTCGGTTTGGCCAAACTTCGTGTAAATGTTGGCAAATTGCTTACCTATCGAAAATCGCCACCTCGATTACTGGCTTCAGGGGAATGTTGATCGTTGCTAAGTGAGACGTGGTGCGTGGTCCTCGAGGTCAGGCTGGACTCAAAGAGTGGTTCCATCCAGTGCAAAGTGTGTCAGGGGCCAGATCACCAAATTAGATAGGCTGGAATGCTGCTGCTAAACAGGTTGAAAGAGTCTAGGCCTGCTCCGTTGAAGGAACGTAGCTCATATCTGCATGCCTCCCGGTCTTATTCCTTCGGCTTTTCACTAGAAATGGGGTGTGTGGATGGAGTTGTAGGTAGTATAGCGCAAGTCACGTATGGTCCCTTTGTAGGCGCAGATGTCCTGTGGCTGTTCGCAGTCGGATTGTCAAGCAAATCCAGAACTAGATGCCGCCAGCTATGTGTACATATATGAACTATTAATAAATGAACATGGAATCATTAGAACCTTGGAAAACAATGGAATGTGCAGTGTCGTAAATAGAAATCAAACACAGAGAAATCTTAAAACTCATGTCCGATATTTTGGAATTCTTGCCATGTATGTTACCTTGTGCCTTGCTTGATGTCACAGTAAACAACATGACTAGCAATTAAAATCACAACGGTTAACATGTACTGGGCTTTAAGTCAGCGTGACCCTTGCAATGACGGTGATAACTTTTTGTGGCCACTTCACACATAAAACAACAGGAAAAATTTAAATCAGGCTGCTCAAAGTGAAGGATTAAAGGCAGAAACGGAATTTGGGAGTTTATCAACAAATTTATTGTTCGAGCATGCAGGCGATGGGCAGAATGCCGGGGCCATTGTTGCACGATCGAAGCGCAATCATTTAATTGAAGGATCGGCGAGAAAACACCAAGGACAGTAGACACTGTTAGTTTACGTACTGGACATATATTTTTGTGACAATCCTTAGTTGTCTTTTTCGTTTTGCTACCGTTTGTTTCTTGACAGTGGTTTAAACACCAGTTCGTTAAACCGATTGGTAAACACATGTCGTTATTACTAGACGCTCATCTTACGTGTCAGTTTCAGCAACATCATTTCCAAGAACATATTTGTTTGAGCTTTATTCTCATAAGTTCTTAATTTGTACGTTAAGGGAATGTTCATTTGACGCACATTTTTGCATTAGATCGTAATTTCCGTGTTTGCATTCATGCCTATCGCCTGGTTTATGATCCTTATTTAAACAACCCATTTCGTTACGAATGGATGTCCAATTTACGGTTTGGGTTCCACAATACTCGTTCCAAGGACATAGCTGACTCGTTACTTCTTCCACTGCTGCTCATTCGCTTGTCGCACTTAGCGTTTTCCCTCTTTTTGGTTGGCTGGAATGTATTTCAGTAGTTTCCGTTCAGAACATTTTCAAAGCTAGTTGCGCTTTTGTTGTTGTTGTAATTTCGTTGTTGTTAGTTTTGTTGACGAACTCCAATAGGACGAAATGCGTCTGGTGTTTTTCTAGACTAGGCTGTGCTATGTGGCTTGTGAACTACTGGGATGAATACCTCCACAACGTTTTCAAATTAATAAAACCAGTTTGAACTAATGGATAAAAGTCTTTCTCGGCTCGTCTTTAAAGCTTATCCTGCAGTCCTGGTGTGAAGGCGTTGGTTGTGACACAACAATATCAGGTGATTTAGTGAGCCTAAGAATAATAAGAACAGGATAAGGCTAACCGACAAAGGAATTCGTGTGGCCGCGGTACACGCAACAGAATTGACTCAACAAACATATAGATCGAAAGACCATTCTACGGATCACCGCTGTCCATTAAGCAGTCTACAACAGGCCAGTTAGATAGCGTACATAACAGTCAACCGAACGCTTGTTTAGTACAACTCAGCTGTGCGTCATCATTGATGACACGCAAAAGCGGTAACAAGTATGGAAGTTAGAGGAGTTAAACGGCTAAAGTTTATGCACAGTAACTTGCAAAGGATTGAACCCAAATAAGTGAACATGGAGAATCAGTGTAACCCGCAACTTCGTGTGAAAAACTTAGCTATCAGAACTTGAAACAGGTAGAAATTGGGTGTTGCCTACCAGAAAACACTGCGCACTACGACGCGTTCCGACCACCATTGACATCATCAGGTAGAGCCCGAGACCACTGGGATGATAGCTGGGACCTCTAACTTCTTGGCTACCGGGTCACGACGTGCAATACTTGGCACAACAGTTACTGAGTGACTGGAAGGTCGCTAAGTACATCTTGCGCGAATAGATTGCAACGCACCATTCATTCACAACCTACTTCCAAATGTTCCTCCAATCAATTGTCAGAAGCTGCTTTCAATAAAAGATGGACGATTATAGAGTACAAAATGCGACAGAATGCAGGGTTGTAAAAATGTGAAGCAGTAAACACTTTGGTCTCCAACAGATCCCCATCTTCCTGAAGCGATTTGATTAACGTTCCGCTTTTCATGAAGGGTGCCCGGACCTTATGATTCAAGCCACTGAGGAAGCAGCCTACTGTCCGTCGCCTCCAAATTGTTAACTTTCACTTTACACCGCATACTAACTTCGCTTCCGGAGCTACACGCCCATAAAGAACTGGATGATTTCCGCCTCGATCGTGGGTGTTAAATTCATGTGTTTACGCGCCGCCAACTCCTCGAGCAACATCACCTTTGCCGTCAGTTTACCATTATCGCATCTTGGACATCCGAGCCTTGTACGACTCAGTCGATCGGCCTTCTGTATGGCGTTGTATGCAAAAGAATGACTTGTCCGTTATCCTTCAAGCATTATATATCATGTCTAGAGTGGAGTGCAGTAAGCTCTTTCCACCCTTCTCCGTCACTGGCAGTGTGCGAAAGGGATGCACTGTGTCCCCGTCTCTCTTCCCTTTAGGATTGCGGAGGCCCTAATGAGAGCTCTGGAAGGTCTCTGCACTTCTGGCGCAAAGGATTTTCCAGGCAAATGTGCGGCTGACTTTGGCTACACTGATGGTATCGCCCCATTAAGTGAAGACCCAAGTGTACGCAGGTCGTTGTAAACTGCTTGACGATTTAAGCCACCTAATCTGGCTTTGCTCCCACAAAGTGCAAAGTGCTAACGCAAAATTGACATTCACCTGTCCAGTGCTGACATTTGAGGGCATCGTCCACAGGGGATCTGCGTTTCTGTTGATGGCACCATTGTTGGGAAGATTTTGCATCACATTGCCAAAGCCCGATCAGCTCACGCTAACCTGAGGCATCTGCGGTGTCGTGTCTATATTGCCTGTGGTTATGAGGCACCGTTGGATAAATGTGAGTCCTGGTCGCCGATTAAGCTAAATGAAATGTGTCTGCTTTCTGCTTTTGACAACAGTTGTCTGGGTAGGATATCTCGTGTGTGCTGGGAACACCACCCTTGTAACGACAGTGTTAAACTTCGCTTCTCAGACACTAATGGTTTTTCTATATACCAGGGTCTGGAGAGAAGAAGAGGAAGGGTGGCCAACCGACAACCTGGTCAAGAGGAATGCAAGAACTTAGTTCCAATTTGGCCTCTGTTGAAGCCACTCGGGTCCCTGGTTTGGGCTCAAAAAACGACAAACATTTTTGGCTGGATACACTTGTTGATCCGACCGCAGTGGCATTTTTGTTGTGAGTTTCGTTATCCCTCGGCTCCCGCTTAGTCTCCTCATCCCAGCACTATCTCATTCTCGAAACATAAAGTTTCTTTGTGGCGCAACCCCCGGCTAGTAGCTCTAGGGAAGGATGTATTTCCGTTACTGATTGCTCATCTGGCCCATCTGTTTCATGTTCATTTTTCTTTCCTCATGTATTGCAGCACAAAAGCTGAGGTATTTCCACCTCTATCTAACGTGTATGTTGTTGATGATGATGCTGAATCGGCAAACTAATACCGCTGCTCCAACTAAGATGGCTGGGTCACATTCACGCAGGCCTTGCGGCCGACTATCACGGCGTGATCTATACACTCGCACAGGTCTCCACTGGAATAAATCAAGCGGTTGTCAAGCTATCACATAGTGATACAATGTCAAAGTGCTGATATTCAGTCGGGCTGTCGTCTGTTCCGTACGTCTTCCGAACTGGGGAGCAAAAGGTTTAGAACACTTTTGGTTAGAAACCCTTGAGGAGATGGCGTGGAATCGGGTTAAATGGAAGATTTCCATGGTTTAATACGTTGACCAACACATTTCAAGGCCGTATTCATTAAACTGATGAAAAACGAAAAAATGGTTTGTTAAGGTTATAAGAACTACCTTCTATCGGTTTCCCGCTCCGTCAATTTCGTACCTCTTACACACATTTATTCCATTGCTTTTATGGTTCCTTTTGGTTCCTTTATAAATTCCTGCTTTTATTTATACATTGCACCCCCGCCTTCACATATGGATGAAGGTTGAAGCTGCATTTGACATATCATAAACACTAAAGTAATGCAGCCGTAAACGTTATACAGTTCCCAGAATTTGTATATCTTGCGCTATCTTGTGTGGTAACTGCGTCCTAAAGTTTAACAAAATGCCTGTTCTTTACCAAAAAAGCACCAGGTAACAACCCTATTTTAACATTTTACAGGCGTTATTACCAAGACCAGTGAAGAAGCTACCGCCTACAAAGGGCAATACCAAGACTAGTGCAGAGATCAGCGGCTTACGCATTCGTTTAGGTGAACCAGAATTTGCTCGTGATCTGTCCGAAATTGAAGCTAGCCTCTTGCTTGATGATTTGGAGTCAATGAGTGAAGAGCAAACCGATAACGATGATGATATCCTAATGGTGTCACAAACTGGTTTGGACGACAACTGGGATAAAGATTTCACCAGAACAGAAAGCAATCTGGATAAAAATAAGAGCAGAAAACGTGCAGACGGAGCTACAGGACCATCTGTCCTCAACCACAGACCCAGTCTCGGTGAATACCGAAGGTCCACATGTACCCTACCAAAAGGTCGCGTGTCAGAAACTCTGGCAAATCGTTTGAGTACCTATGGGAGCGGCCAAAGTCGAGCTTGTGTGCGTCAATTATTGATTCTGCTCATGAATGAATGCCAACCGAAGGAAATTATCCAAAGGAACCAGCGGCGCCAGCAGATTGTTTTTGAATTCACAGGAGTAGGCCTTACTGAAGCCTGCAGGTGAGCCAACTGAGTAGCGCCAGCTTGAGCCATTAGACATCTATTTCTATACCATCAGATTGTACTGCAATGCAGTAGGTGCTGTGACCTTGGTTATGTGGCATCGTTTTCCGCTGGTGATATACGAAGGCCGTATGTACTGGGACAAAAGCGAATAGTTACCTACCTGAGTAATAATGATCATGGTGATTTAAATCTTCCACAAAAGTGAGCATCAATAGCTAACTGCGACATAACAACAACGTAGGCAACTGGTTGTGTGTGTATTTACGACTGCTGATAAACAACGGTTTTGTTTGAGTGTGTTAGTAGATAGCCATATTCTGTCAAATGTTGTTACGGACAGCTAACTGTTTTTATCATGCATCTCTGGTGGCGAAGATAGATAGTATGAAATAACTGTTAGTAGCAGTTGACTAAAACTAATCAAACAAAAAGTATATAGCACGGATTTTAACAGTGCTTCATTCACTGATCCCATTGTAAGAAAACACAACCTTAGACTACTTGTGCTGACAGTGTGCACCGTCATCTGCGTTTCAACCATGTCACTCATGACATAAATCAAGAATATACCTTAAAAGAGTGGAAGCCAAAACTACCATCACGTCAGTGCTGAAGGCGAATATGATTCAAATTTGTTCTTGGTTAGTACGTCAAGTTACATTGGTCAGATTTCGCGAGGTTGAACCAATATGAGCATAATAGTAAAATGGGCAGACAAGATGGATGATTGTTAGGGGGAAAGTAAACTTCCTACAAAAGGTTGACCTGTAACTCTCAACATAAGCACACAAACACCTTAGGAAACTTCGCCAAACCTAAGTGACAGACCCATTTGGGAATCAGGCGAACCCCGAGTCAACCGGTATTCTAGTAGGTTTTTCAGTAAATACGTAAAGGTTATCAGAACGCTCTACTCGCATAGTTCAGGCAGGGTGAGGACTAAAGGCAAACTGTCACCGCTATTCAATATCTCCAGCAGTGTGAGACGAGGATTCCAAATGTCAATTTCCCCCTTTAACTTCTCCTTTGACGGAGCCAAGTAGACTGTGTTCACTGGACACGACCTGCAAGGCGTGGAGCTGCTCCCATGTAATCAAATGCATGACTTACAGTTGGCCGACGACAAAGCTCTTATCTGTGACAGCTCCCAATCGTGTCCAGCAGCAATGGACAGAAAACCACTAGGTGACAGTCATTTCGTACTATGACTTGCAAGCTCAGAATGAAAAGTCATTCTCCAAGAGTGACAAAGATCCACCGCTGCGCTGAACCGTGGTGATGCTCAGCTTGACGTCGTCACTAAATGCAAGTATCTAAGTAGCTAAATCAGCACCAAGCTAATGAAAGATAAGATCACAAACCGCGTAGCATAAGCTCGAAGCGCCTTTGCCAACCCTTGCCACCTATGACGTCGGTGTGACATCAATCTCGCCAAGAAGAACTGAGTTCATAATGCAGATGTTAGTTTAGCCCTCCTGCGCGGTTGCGAAACCTGGCATCTCAAATCGACCGAAATAAAAAGCTGATTACATTCGATCATCACTGCCTTCGCACCTTAGCTCATGTCTGGTGCGAGTACATCGTGAGCAATGAGTGTGTTCGGCGTCGTGTGTTTGATCTAGGACGAGTGAGTGAACCATTCAGCGCCGTCATTTCACACAGTTGGCTCCGATGGCTGGACCACATGTTGCGCTTGTCAGCCCACAGACTCCCGTATCGTGCGTTATTTGCGCACCGGGACTGTGGATGGAAGAAGAGGAGGGGATGCCAAGCAATGACTTGTTCAATAGAAATGGAAATCCCAATTCGAATTTGGCGTTAGTTGGTGTCTCACGACTGCCAGGTTGGGACCCGAATGATGGTGAACGCGTTTCATTTGCTGCACTTGTTGAATTGACAAGGAACCGATCTCAATGGCTTTGGTGTTGCAAGTTTCGTTCTCACTCCGCATGCCACTTATCTTCTCCCTCCAACAACGAACTCAACCTTGAAGCATAAGACTTTACTGCGTGCCATGTTATTTGTTGCTTTTTGTGTTCTATGAACTATTCTATCGCTTTTTTTCATGTGTCCTTTTATATCTTGGCGCTATTGCGGAGGAGTGTTTCACAACTTCAGCTAATGTTTAAGGTTTTTGATACGTTAACTATGTTTTATAGGAAATGTGTTAAAGAAGGACTATAGAGTAGGTGTTTCGAGATCTTCATCGCTACGTTCCATCGGGAATATCCAGTTGATACCGAGTGTTGCTTCCAACTTCTAGCCCACTTGGCGCTCCTTATTGCAAAGACCACATACGATTACAATTGGACGCCGATCTTTGGACAAGGAGTGCTAATGAACTAGTACAAGTGTTTAGCTTATGACGATATTACTTCTACCGATGAAACCAGAAAAATGGAAAGCACGGGATGTACATTATGACAGCAGGCCAATTTATCTTCCAGATGCTCCTTTTTTATCCCATCTAGCATTCCCGACCCACATCCGTGATTAAATGTATTATCCGCTTCACATGGGCTCACACTAGCTTGCGTCTCAGCCCCAAACATCTTAGTGATGGGTAAGAATATCAGCGAATTCATATTGTTCACTTATTACTGCCAATTTGCTATCCAGTCGGCGGGTCAACCCATGCCCGTATACGAATATTCCTCAAACAACAGCAGACCCAGGATGTACTCTCCTGATAAGCTTTCGTGTTCTTCCTGACAGCAACACCATTTGCATAGTAGGGAACTGACGTTCCATTTCACCGGCTTGAAATGAGAACGCGCCGGTTATTTGGCATTTGTCGTCTAAAGATTTTTTTGCTTTGCTCCATTTTATACAACTGTAAATCCTATTACGATGGATGATTAGATGTGCTTTCAGATGGCTACAAGTCCATCCGCAGTACAGGACGTGAAGTTATTGCCAAAAGAGTTAACAAGTGAGGTAATACTGTGTAATAGGGCAATCGAAATTATTTTAGCCTATACAATTAATTTTCGAAATCCACTGACTATTTCATGTTCATTCTGACTGAAATATAGCTCCCAATTACTACGGCACACACAGAATGGTCTTTTACTCATGCGTCGAAACCTGAGTCTTCCGCTCAACGATCGAGAAGCAATGCGGTTTATGCAAAAAAGGCTGGAAGGACGTTACAAGGTACTTGAATTTTCTGGTTTACGCCAAGCCCTAACTCACCATTGAGGCCGTAGCATGTAGACTTGTCACACTCATTTTCGCAATTCACTTGCTGTATTAAAGTGTGAAAAGCACATGGTCACCGTTTTTTGTACATTTGAGCGAGAATTCTCGCTTCTCTGACCATTTGTTGACCTCAGATTGAAGCGTTACGGTTTGAGCTGCAGCGGCGCAAAAGCGCGACAACCTAAACACCAATACGGAAAAGTGCCAGACAATAGTTTTGCCATATTAAAAAGCCTTATTTCTAAGCATTCTCCCGGTCCCGTGCAGGAAATTGAACCTATGACCGTTAAAAGCTTGCGCAAAGTAACCAGCAGCTCATGCCACTGAGCCACGTTGGACAGTGGTAGATCGTCACAGCTTTGAACTTAACCGGGATATAGAGCAACCAATCCCCTACTGCCTGCGTTTTCCAATCTTGCAGAGGGTAGCGGTTGTCCTCCGGAAGCCACGACTTCCACAATAAGGTAGCTGTGTACGACATAGAATTTTTGGGATGTGAGGGGAAATGTTTACATTACTGATGAGTAGGAGGGTTTTAGCTGGAATATAAATGGTATAGAAATTCATATAAATGGTTCGTCCCAGAAGCTCACAAGTGTGACAACCTAGGCACAAATCCGGTCTCAGTGGCATACACTGCTGGCCAGTTAACGCAAGCTGCTAGCGTCCACGGATTCCGTTCCTTGAAAGGGACTGAGGGAATGTGCACCACTTAACAAGCTTCATCATTAACATCAATGCATGTTAGCTGAATGTATTAAACACACTTCAACCAATATGTCACTATACAAAAATGAGTTGATATGTGAAAAAATGATGTACAAATCATTACAAGATACAATATAAAAGCTTAGTGTCATAGTAAGCATCAGGTATGGCATCGTGGTTAAAGGAGGAAAACAATTGAGAAGGAGTGTTAAAGGAGCAATAAAAATGTAGGTGTGCTTGTGCAACCATTCATAGTCGTGGAATTTCGTTTCTCTCTGGGGGTTCACCGTTGATTATTTTAACGTATTATTTCACCTTCCCTATTGGTTGTTTAGAATTGTTGCATTTAATTCCTCTTCGCGCTCCTACTCTGACGCTAACCAACTTACTTGCCGTTCTTTGTCTACACTTGATTGGTTCCTTAATTGTTCAGTATTTATTGGCTTTACCTGTCGGCATGCATTTCGTACTATAATTGGCTTTCACACTTGTGCGCCATGCGCGTTCACCTTGATTCCTGTGTCGAAAGAGAGGCGATGAAGCTGACAAAGGATTTTTCTTTCTACTCTCTTACATTCCAATGATCCAATAATCTAAATAACGAAGTGGTTTGCTATGTAAAAGAACCCCTGAATCGTTGTCCTTGGATGGTCGTTTTCTCACTACCGATAGTGCGTAGAAGCAGACGCGGAGCTCGACGCAAAAAGATGTGACAAAGAAAATTACAACACCAACTTACAACACCATTGAGATCGGTTCCTTGTCATGCCAACAAGTGTAGCAAATGAAACGCGTTCACCATCCTTCGGATCCCAACCTGGCAGTCGTGAGACACCAACCGACGCCAAATTCGAATTGGGATTTCCATTTCTATTGAACAAGTCATTGCTTGGCATCCCCTCCTCTTCTTCCATCCACAGCCCCGGTGCGCAAATAACGCACGATACGGGAGTCTGTGGGCTGACAAGCGCAACATGTGGTCCAGCCATCGGAGCCAACTGTGTGAAATGACGGCGCTGAATGGTTCACTCACTCGTCCTAGATCAAACACACGACGCCGAACACACTCATTGCTCACGATGTGCTCGCACCAGACATGAGCTAAGCTGTTAAAACATCGATGATTGAATGTAACTAGCCCTTTATTTTTGTCATTTATTTGGCCAAGTTTTACATCAGTATAGGAGGGCTGAACAGACGTCGGCATTATGAACTCAGTTCTTCTTGGCGAGATTGATGTCACACCGATGTCGCAGGTGGCGGAGGTTGGCAAATGCGCCTCGAGCTTTTGTTTTACATTTCGTGACCTCATCCTCTATTCCATCAATGCTGAAATAGCCGCCGAGATAGCTGTATCTTCTAAAGTGTCCTAGCTGATCACCACCACGGTTCAGCGCAGCGGTGGATCTTTGTCACTCTTGGAGAATGACTTTTCATTCTGAGCTTGCAAATCATAGTACGAAACGACTGTCACCTAGTGGCTCTCTCCAGTGCCGCTGGGCACGATTGGGAGCTGTCCCAGTTTAGGGAAATGTCGTCTGCCTACTTTAAGTCAATAATTCGCTCACAAGTAAACAGTTCCACACCTTGTATATCGTGACTGCCAAGTTGGTCATTGGGGATGTTAAAGAGGGTAAGTGAAGTGGGCATCCCCATCTCAGTGCTGAAGATATTACGTGGCGGCGACATTTCACCATAAACCCTCACCCTATCTAAACTATGCCCACACAGCGCGCTTATTACATTACGTAGATTTCGGGCCCTGTGAAGCCTCATTTGGGCGAAACGATCGTCTGTTGCTTTTCCGGGTTTGTGCCTAGATTATTGAGCTCGTGAGCTGCTGGGAAGAACCAGTTACATTTCATATAGAATTCTCCTATTCATCAGCAACGTTCGCATTGCTCACTACTTATTCCACTTCTGCTAACACGTACTATCAGTAGACTGCATTCATATTCCACAATATTACGTGCTTTCCTGACCCTCAGTAGGCTGCACTTACTGGCATACTTTGTAATTTTGTCACAGACCACCAGCTACCAGCTATGCCACCGCATCGGTAAGACTACTTCCGGTGAATATGAACGTGCCTGTTGCTTGAAAATATTTGGCGAAACGTAACAACTTAAACTGCCTTGAAACAAATCGATCTATGTACGCATATGACCTGGAAACGCCTTCAGCATAATTATTAGACACGGGAAATCCAGATAACTAGGCAGAACAAGCGTCGATTTACCGTCCAGGATAACTGCTTCAGCACGTACCTTATTTGCATCATTAAAGCTTAAAGCTTGCAGACGACTTTCTGGTTCCGCAATTCTACGCATTGCAACAGAGAGCTGATCAGATGTTATCATAGCTACGTTATCCTCGCTGTGCTGTGAATGCTCTGACAAAGAATGCCTCCTTGATTCGTTCATCGGAGCGCGAGTTCACTATTCAACTTGTGTTACGGCAGAGAGTATGAGGCTAATCGTATCACCTAACTAACGCACGGTCTGGGCAGTTAAAATGCAGGGCAGTGGGCGGAATGAGCATACTGAATAACCGTGGTTCTACAATAGCAGTAATAAACAAAAGAAGAATACAATTAACTCACGAATAGGTAATGCGACTCGCTAATTCGGGCAGCAATTATTCCGGACCGGGATTCTAACCAAAGTGCTTTGTTGATAATTTGGTGAGGGTGGTTTGGTACGCCATGCTACATGTGGACTATGTTGCTTATTGATGTTGTGTTGTATAATGAAGCGTTTCAGGAGCATTTATGGTACGTAATAATATTAAATTTTGTAGATTTTAACACTGTTGTTGTTCAAGTAGCTAACGAAGTGCAGTTATGAGCCGCGGCGCGTCGTTGGAAGCTGCCATCATAATGGACGATCTTCCTTCGTTTAATCGTTTGGTGAAATTATATCTTCGCGAACATTTGCGGACATGGAACAGGATGTGATAAAATTTCAGCAGGCTACTGCGACGGCCTTTTATAAGCGGTCAGTGGTTACTCGAACTCGGTGCAAAATTTACTTAACTTAACTTTACCTCCCTATAAATATACTAAGTGCAATCCATTTTATTATTGAAACCTCATTAATTATTTCTTAACGCTCGCCATTGCCTATTTGATACAGGTTGTTCCATTTAACCTCGGCCCGTAACCAAAATTCTGCCCTTGGTTAGAGCCCAGCTCCCCAATTATTCCACGTCAGCAGTTAAGTCTGCGCAAATGGCGAATAGTCCGTAAAATTGGCACAGTAAAACAAATTACAACCGATGAGACGCAAATCGTAAGTTCACAACAATTAAGCAAAGAAAAAATGATAATAAATGCAGAAAATTGCAGGGTTTTATCAGTTTGTTAAGCCGAACATTTGTGCACGAACACGTAAACTCGAGTACCACACCGTCCAACGGGAAAACTATAAAGAAATTGAACTACTGGTAAATGTGCAGTAGTATAGATTAGAATCGAGAATTTAGAATTCACAAGTGGGATAAGAATTGTCGCCATGGGTAGTTGGGATGATTGACGATCTGAATTGCTATTATAAAAAAATTGCATTCGAAGTTATTATGGAGCGCAAACTCCTAGCTCCTTTGCTGCTGATTAACAAGAGTACCGAAGACTTCGGTTTCCTCCTCCTTGGAAGTAAATTGAAATTTTTGGATGAACTGTCTTTTTGAGGTTTTACTTCCAAAGGACAGTTTCGGAACCGTGTTTACAAGAGTGTAGTTCAAAGAATTTGTTTTTGTCAAAGTTCGCTTGATCCAAATAATTTTAGATCACCGTTTTCCCCGGATTACGTCGTACCCGTTCTCGTGGACTTACCTAAGTCCGTCCATCTGTTTTCGTGTTCAGCCTGGCTATTTTTTGGCCCTTTCGTGATTGGTAATCCGTCTAACACCTTGTGCTAACCCGTAACTGCTTCTGTTGACTGCCTTGCAGGTAACAACTCTGCGGCTTCACCTTTCGATTCTTGCTTCACACTGCTTTTGAAATCGTCATGTCGGATTCACTTAGTACCAGAAATAATGTGTCGGGCTGCATTGATCAGTATATCTAACTCCGGATGTGGCAGTATGAGCTGCTAAAAGCCCGCGACAGATGAGTCTGGGTGCATGCAGTGCTATGTATGCAACTGCTGGTACCATGAGACCTTCATCGACTTGAGTCTTGACCAGTGCGCAATGGTCTCGACTAGCGAAAGCGTGCTGTTCAATTGCCTTGTATGCAGTAGCCGTCC